AAAACAGTATTCGTATGTTTTATTATAGATTCTCAGTCAAATTATATCCGGAAGAGTGACCTTTGAAGTCACAAAAAAAATAGAAAAGTGTATTATTCTATTGGTTTGTTGTCCCTTCTATTCGATATATATATATATATCCTTCTTTGTCTCAATATCATTTTATTTTTCATTTATCTAATTGTTGAAATGTTTTCATTATTACTCCGTCCATCTCTCTCTCTCTCGCTCTTCGTGATCTTATTTGTTTTTGTTTTTTCACTTAACCAAGTACGGTACAAACCTGCAGTTCTTTGTTCCCGCAAAGAAGATATAGTAGCTAATGCTGCCGGATCTGTGGTTGTTCCAGGAGGGAGGTGTGTTCCGGCAAAAGATGACCACATATGAGGAGGAGCTGCCGGGCCCCAGGGAAAAGCTGCGGCATACGGGTGGTACATACTGTAGCCAGCGGCTCGAGCGAACTCTGCTGCTGCCCGTTCTGCTGCTCGGTTTCGTAAGATTCGGTTAATGGAACTCACACTTGGTGCAGTGTTATTGGTGCAAACTCCTAAAGATTAAAATACAATAAAATAAGGTTTACCACACTTGGTGCAGGGTTATCGGTATCAACTCCTAAAGATCAAAATACAACAAAATAAGGTTTACCACACTTGGTGCAGTGTTATTGGTATAAACTCCTAAAGATCGAAATACGATAAAATAAGGTTTACCACACTTGGTGCAGTGTTATTGGTATAAACTCCTTAAGATCAAAATACAATAGAATAAGGATTATCACGTGCCCTGTGACAATCAAGTGCTATATTCTTCAATAAACATTTTACCTTAGCAGACTTATTGTGGTTATATTTCTTAACTTTCAAGGGCTAATGACATAATGATAGATACATGGTAATTATTATACGTGCAGAGTATTATCCTGATCTAGTAAATAATTAACACAATGAAACAGAAAATCTAGAGTGTATTTTTTAATAGCCCTGACTTGAATTACATTTACACCATGTAAACAAAATAATGAACAATACAACTTAACACTATATTAATGTAACAGCCTAATGTATTCTATCTGTTCCATGAATGTGTTGCTTAAATTGAAGCGTTATTGGCCCCTGATGAGAGGGTGAAAGTTTACACGAACAAACGAGATTAATAACTGCGTGTTTTCTTATTATTTCGTTTTCTTTCGTGCAGGGATTTTTTAACGATACGCTGCTTGTCCATGGCTTAATAAAATGTCAATGGGCAATTTCTGTTAAATCTTATTGTGATAACACGTAATGTAACGAGCTTGTCAGCTGTAATCATTAGGCTGTCAGATGGCTTGGAAACCCGAGGGCTGTTTCTAAACAAACTCGTTTGTTATGTACAAAATGATTTGGGAAATAAATTTTTAATTGTACCCTTATCGATACACTTTGCTGTAGCATGCAAGTTTTTAAAGAGGAATATATAAATATAAATTATATATTTCTGTTTCCACGACTTTTGCAGGTCGATGGAAGCAAACACCCTCTGTAGTTGTTTTTAAATATTTTCCATGTCCAAGGGGCGTCCCCTGTCATTTGATGCATGTGGTTTTGTACCCTAAGCAACGTGATAGATTGCTTCTTGTTCTATAGTAAACATATTCTGTTGGACACTGTGTCGTTTTTTTCTGATCCGTAAACTTAGGCCATCCGGATAAAGAAGTGGATGTTTAAAGTTACGGGAGCTTCGGCTGGCGTTTAACTCTAAATTATAAATGATATGTTCTGTACAAAACGTCGTTTCACACATTCAAGTTTGTTCCTATAAGTACATCACATCAGAATGGAATTATTTAGACCGCGAAAAAAAAAATCGACTTTTAACGACTGCCGTGATAAGTTCCGCCTCTGTCGTTGTCCACATTGGCGAACATGTAGTATTTAATATTCAATCGCATTTGTCATTATCATTCTCAGTCGCTCTCTCGCTTCGTTCTGTTTCTTTTGTTTGAAAAAAAACAACAAACAAACGTGGGAAACAACAGGAGATATATGAGCCAAAGTTACAAATTCATTATTTTTCTCTTTTACTGGAGGACGAGTTAATTTCGTCAAGTAGGTAAAAAACAAAAAGAATTTATCAACCGGAGAAACTGTTTATATCTATGGTCTTGATTTTAAGTTTTGTTTAGGTAATGAGCCAGAACATTTTTCCTTTAATACTTTATAACATAGGTTGTAATCCAATATTTGTAAGCGAGTTGAAAATAAAATTTAATTAAAGTCGTTTCGTTACAAAAACAAACTCATCATTTGACAAGTAATTAAAATATTGATTGATATGTACGCGTTTAAAATAAAATTAGCCAATGTATTTTTAAATGATAATTTTCTTCTCTCAGACATGAAGTAGAACTGAAAGAATAAACATGACAGTTAATACAACGAACATGGATTTAAGATCTATCACAAACATTTAAGACCATCAAGCATAAGATCCACTAGCAACATTAAGGATCATCTAACACACATACGTTTAATATCCACTAGCAACATTAAGGATCATCTAAAACACATACGTTTAAGATCCACTATCAACATTAAGGATCTTCCAACACACATGTTTAAGATCCACTACCAACATTAAGGATCTTCCAACACACATGGATAAGATCCACTACCAACATTAAGGATCTTCCAACACACATGTTTAAGATCCACTACCAACATTAAGGATCATCTAACACACATACGTTTAAGATCCACTAGCAACATTAAGGATCATCTAACACACATACGTTTAAGATCCACTAGCAACATTAAGGATCATCTAAAACACATACGTTTAAGATCCACTATCAACATTAAGGATCTTCCAACACACATGGATAAGATCCACTACCAACATTAAGGATCTTCCAACACACATGTTTAAGATCCACTACCAACATTAAGGATCCTCCAACACGCATGTTTAAGATCCACTAGCAACATTAAGGATCATCTAACACACATACGTTTAAGATCCACTATCAACATTAAGGATCTCCCAACACACATGGATAAGATCCACTACCAACATTAAGGATCATCCAACACACATGTTTAAGATCCACTAGCAACATTAAAGATCATCTAACATACATACGTTTAAGATCCACTAGCAACATTAAGGATCTCCCAACACACGTGTATAAGATCCACTATCAACATTAAGGATCTTCCAACACACATGGATAAGATCCACTATCAACATTAAGGATCTTCCAACACACGTGTATAAGATCCACTATCAACATTAAGGATCTTCCAACACACATGGATAAGATCCACTACCAACATTAAGGATCTTCCAACACACATGTTTAAGATCCACTACCAACATTAAGGATCATCCAACACACACACACACACACACACACGAATATTGAACTTTCCTATTGTTTTTACTAACTTGAGCTTTTACACTGTTATAAAGATAAAGATTATTTTCACTTTGTACAAATTGTACGTGTTCAACAGGTAAAACATAATTTTTATAGCTATTTTATCGATAAATCCTGGTTAAAGAAACCCTTATTGTTTGAGGTAGGCCAACTGCAAAGTGTGCAAAACCTTTAAATAACGTTGCAGATGTTGTATTCTAAAACTTCTGATATCAGAAGTGATTTTAACATTTTCAAAGATAGAGATTTCTTCCATTTACTGCACAAAAAAAGAAAAACACATTTGTTTTTAATACTGCTGCAATTCATCTTAGCATTGAACATGACTGTGATTTACAAACTGCCGCCTACCTTCTCGACTAATTTCGTGAGATATTCTAGGTCTGAACAGTGTATTTCAATTCAGTTCAACGCATGCTACCATAGTTACTTAGATATTCAGTTATTAAAACAAGTGTTTATAAATATTATTATATCACGTTATTTTCATTAATGTCCGTGAGTTATTGATAAGTTAGCGGGCTTACAAAGATAGAATCCGGGATTCGATTCCTAGTGGTGGACAACGCTTGATTGAGTACATTATATTAAGACGATTTTAAAGGCTCATAATGTTGTTACCGTCCATGTTACCACGTCTGACGACAGTACATCATTAAAATTTTCCTATAGCATAGTTTTCATTGCAAAAGTCTCAATAATCTGTCAAGTCCAAAGCACATCCCTCCCCCTAGCTCGCTTTCCATAAGCTATCTAATGTAAAAATATGTATGTTATTAGCGCCCATATGAACAGTTCAACGACATAGAAACTTATATGCGCTGCATTCGGCTATTTGACCGATATATCTTTGCATAGAATATCAAGAATACCTCTTTCATTCTCCAGCTGCTTGAAGTATGCGACGATTGAATGGATACGTCGTAGAAGTAACTTATGTATACACATGATGACCTGTGTCGCATTTACAAGAGAATATATTTCTTTATTATGTTGGGTACTGTTACTTGTGGAATGTAGACGGCTTTTGCCACTGACCTTAGAGTTTGTGAACTCTTACCCATTACAAGACGCCGCACTTTGCGTATCTTGGGTGAGGCACGGTTTGTTGCACTTCTCTTTCTGGATGTTCCTCAACCTGACCCATATTCCTTTGTTTTCTAATGCCATTTAGTACAAGGGATATACCCGTCTTGGAAATTCTAAATCTTCGATCGGAACCCATTCTTATGATCTGAATATACGAATATTTTGTGTCAGAAAGGGTTTTTACACACTCTTCCCAAATGTGATCTGTTTTTGGTAGCATCTCACTACCTACGTATCGCCGACCAATAAAAAGAAATGTAAAATATTTTTGGTAGCATACACTACCTACGTAACGCCAACTAATGTAAAGAATGTGATCTGTTTTTGGTAGCATCACACTACCTACGTATCGCCGACCAATAAAAAGAAATGTGATCTATTTTTGGTTGCATACACTACCTACGTAACGCCAACTAATGTAAAAAATGTGATCTGTTTTTGGTAGCATCACACTACCTACGTATCGCCAACCAATAAAAAGAAATGTGATCTGTTTTTGTTAGCATCACACTACCTACGTATCGCCGACCAATAAAAAGAAATGTGATCTATTTTCGGTAGCATCACACTACCTACGTAACGCCAACTAATATTAAAAATGCAGTTCAAATTCATTCTGTTCCAACGTGACTTTCTATCGGCTACAGTTGTCATGAGATTTGCTTATTTGCATAATCAAAATCGTATTAATATAACACATTCGGATCTGTATACTCTTGTTTCATGACCCGTAATTCGGAAGAGGTGACTAACTACATGGAACCAATTTATAATTCATTGTCTGTTAATTTCGATTAAAATACGGCTTTGACATAGTTAGAATGGTAACCGTAAGGATGATAGTAACTGATTTTTAACACCTAACACCAAGTCAGTATGCTGTAAAGCTGTAAATCTGTCCCTTTGAAACACAAGTAATACAGAGAGACATCAACAAAAATGGCAGTACACAATTTAGACTGACTCAACATTAAAAGTACCTTTAGAAAGTCTAAACGATCTGATTGGTGCGTCCTGGTCAACTGCGGGGCAGAGCAGGTTTT